GAGTATTTCCACGCTAGCAAGGGCGTGTCTAATTCTACTCTTAGAGAGGAATTCAAGAAGTACATCCAGCCCTTTGTTGACGACGTTTCAAAGTACGGCACGCATAGTATGAGGTCTGGTGCAGCGTCGAACGCCGCTTGTAGGCGCATACCGGGCGATTTATTGGATATGCATGCTGGGTGGAGGTGTCCTTCCTCGAAGAACATATACATTAAACATACAATTAAAGATCGTTTAAGCGTTTCAAAATCGCTTTTGCTCTGAGGGTATGCTTTACGCTAGTTTACAGTTTATTCTTGCTTAGCTGAAAGAGCTTTTCTTGTCATTAGTTTGCAATTACTTGTGCTTTTTTGCTGGTTTATAACTATTGTAGTTCTAGTTTACTATTTACTGCAATCAATTTATTTATCGTATTTATTATGTCCATCTATTTGCTGTAGCCTAGAAGTCCTGGCGGGGGACGTAAGTGGTGCCTGGCCTGTCCCAGATTTCCTGTCCTGTGTTTTCCCTACGGGGTTTTTTGAGGCAGGTTTTTTCTGGCCCCCCTGGGTCGCTTACTCGCAGTTGACAGATCCGTTACGATTATAATCATATATCTCAATTGTAGTTCAATAAACTGATTGATGGCGTTGCTCGCAGCCCACAATCCAATGTTCTCCGTGATTTGTTGTGTCTTGTTTTCATTTGGTTTTATTCGCTTAAGTTAGTGCAGAATAACTTTAACGCTTAATGACTTTCAGAAAAGGTTGCATATAAGAAGTACAGCGAGAGTGAGAGAAGAAATAAGGCTCGACACTATGACACTTCTCTCTGGAGTAAACTAGTATCTTGTCCACTCCTGAAGCCACATAAATACTGAGAGGTCTATTTTCCCTCTCTCTCTTATTAATCCATATATTTATTTTTTGTTTTTGTTTGTTTATGTCACGGTTTTCATTCAAAGGTGCCTTCATGTCAAACTTTTTAAAACAATCGATGACAAAATGCTTAAAACTGAGAGTCGATATGCTGAATATGTGAAGCAGCCCAACAAACCCTCGGGAGGAGCACTAGTGTAACAATAACTGCTTTTATTATCCAACTACACTTCGTAAAGCACAAATAACGCCTTAAACAAGTACAAATATCACGCGGTAATTGTACTCTAGAGTACCGGTTAAACGGGTTTTCTCGCATCGCGCAAGCGAAGAATTGAATTGTAGTTACGAAAAAAAAATGGCGGACAATTTGAATCATATTTCCGACGACGAAGAGTCAGAATGGCTGGAAAATATACATCCAAGTTTATTAGATGAATCAAACGAAGAAAAACAGCTAGACGACCTAGAANCCCCCCCCGCATACCCATGCATTTACAAAGTGTCTCTCTTGACCCAAGAATATAAATGGATTTAGCAAACTGTCACAGGAACTTGACAAAAGGCTGAGGTATTAGCCAGTAATGGAATGAAATTCCATGCAACATGGGAGGAGGGGGTAATAACCCTAGTTCCTTCTTGCTATTGAAAATTGGATAAGTTCTGGCAAGACAAGATGTCTGGTTATAAGCTGAATTTACCCTAGTTTACTCCTCTTGGTAAGATTTCTCATGACCCTGTATAAGTTAGGCATAAATGGGTGGGATACTTTCTGGAAAGATTGAAAACTTGCATGAACATGCCAAAAAATGTTTTCACTCAAGGCTGTTATCTCCTTATTCATATTTCAACTACCTTCAGTCAACACACAAGCTTTGATTAGTGAACATAACAAACACAATCAGCACCCCAAACCTAATAATACTTTGATTTTTACAGGGATGGGAAAAATTTACTGATGCCGTAATAAGGTGGATTAATACAAATCTTAGCGGTGTTGTTTTCCTACTTTGGGGCTCGTATGCTCAGAAGAAAGGCAGCTTCATTGACAAGGTACAATATCATGGGTTCCACAAGTAGAAATATTTCTCTCTGTTATCATCTATGGTATGATATGGTTGGGATCATCTTTTCTAGTCACTCTAAGATATTTAATGCTTAAATATTTAGTCATCATCAAGCTGCTATCTAATGGTAAGTAGGAGCAATGGTTTATTTGAATTTGACTTGAATTTTAGAAGAGCAACTGAAAGGTACACAGACTGGTGATATTTTTATATACATTGTACATGTATACACCAGTAGTCCATTCAATTGGACTCCAGTAGTCCATCCAAAGTGACCATGGACTTTAAATCTATTTCAAGTCCATGGTCACTTTTTATCATCCTCCTGACAATAAAATAAATACTTTTAAATTAACCCTTTGCATCCTAACATAGTAGGCGTATTCTCCATGCTTTTTTTTTTTTTCCATTTCCTGTGGTACTGACAAGGAGGCATTTTTGAGTAATTAATAGCTTCTTTAGTCTGAGATCATTTTTTTTTATTCTCATGATCTTTCTGTGTAACTCAGGGTTGATATTGTAAGGAGAAGTTAGTTATTAGTCACTCCGAGGTGTCAAGGGATTATTGTGGACTTGATTCATGTTCAGATCAACTTCAACTTCAACTTTATTGTAATCAGGCATGACATGACACTTAACAAATGATGCACTACCCACAAATAGCAGAGCTTGTCTCGGCGGGCAGTGTGTGGATGCTAAAACATCTTTAATAAATTTCGGCTCAACAAAAGTGAATGGTGTATTTGAAACCTATTTCAACAAGAATATCATCAAGTTTAACCCCTTCATCCCCCAGATCTCATTAGTAATTCTCCTTACAGTTTGCCATAAAATTGTTATGATGTTGGTTTGGAGAACTTGTTATTGGATCAACTAGTAGTCCCCTGGTTGATATTTTTCTTTATTCTCATCACTTGTCTGCTTGATGTTGTATTGATATAGTAAGGAGAGATTCTGTCTTGGTCATTCATGGCAGTTAAGAGGTTAAGAAGAATATTAATGCAATGAAAAATATTCAAAAGGTAGTTGTGAATATTTTGGCTTCATGATTTGGCTTCACTTTTTACTTACTATCTTGCAGAAGAAGCACCAGGTGTTGAAAGCTGTTCACCCTTCGCCTTTGTCAGCCCACCGTGGATTCTTGGGTTGTAAACACTTTTCTCAAGCCAATGCATATTTAAAGAAATCTGGGAAGAAACCTGTGAATTGGTGCAATCTTCCCAGTGATGAAAATGAAGCAGTTAATTGAACTGTGACTGAAATATGGCATTATGATCCAAACTTTATTGTGTACTTTTACTGTAGTTAGGTAAGGGTGGCATGTTCTTATCATCAGAACATGATAGTTTCAAAATTACATGTACCATAATATTATGATTGCTATGAAAATGTTTTTCTGAACGAAATTCATGGTCATACATTTCTGTTCAGTTTTGTTAAAGTCACTGTTGAGTTAGACATGGAATGTCATCATTAGTTTGATCATGTAGGCTGATACTCTGATTTTTTATTAGAAAACAGGTCAAAGTGGTATTTGAAACAATTATTTCTTGAGAGTTTTGTCCAATAGTTCCTCATTAAAAATTGAGCTTGGGGCATAATGTAGCCATAATATTAAAAATCAACAATAGTGTGATTGATATATCAACCAATTAACATACATTGATCTTAATACAATAGCATCCTATAGAAAAGCTGTAATATGATTGGTCAAACTGTTTTGTTATAGATGGAGATTAAATGAGTGGCCTAACAATGTAAAAAAAAAAAAAAAATATTGAAAACTTGAGACATATTCTTGTTGATGAGTTTCGAATTACTAATAGAATGATTTTTTTTGTTAGATAGAGGGAAAATAATCTAATCATTAGAGTAGAAATCTGCTAGTTTTTGAAAACTAAACAACAGGACAGTTTCATGGTTTTATTTTGTTTAAAACCGCTCACTTCTTGGATACTCACAGTTACAAATACGTCAAAATTGTTTTATTTCATTGTATTTGACATACCACACTGATACATTATTACGAGGACGTACTTTTCCCTCTTTGTTAGGAAATATGAAAATGTAAAAAATGAAGGTCAAAATGACCAACACGTTAAATAAAGGTTAACGATGTTTTGTTTTCAGACGGCTTCTCGCATCATTGTCTCGCATAACTTTAGTTCAAGTTATCCCTAGAATTCTGTCCAACTCGAAAGAAATCTGCACTTTGCATTTTTCCTTTACGGAGTTTTAGCTCGCGAGAGAAAAGAGAAAAAGCTTGATCAGTAAGATACCTCACACTTTGAACTATTGGTAGCTTTCTATTTTTACCCCCCTTAAAACGAATTTAATCACATTTTGTCTTCTCCATATATCTTTCTCTTGAAATGTTTGTGTAAATGAACCCCTTTAACCTAAATCGAGGTTGGGATATTAAACGATAATCTGCCTCTAAGGTTACTGCCTATCTGATGCCCAAATGGCCAAGATTAAATTCACAAGAATAACTCCCTCAGAAATTTGAGAAATGCCGTTAAACAACTCCGTTTTTGAGGTCTGATTCAAGTTCCGATTATAGTTGTAAAAGAACTGGCCATTTTGAAAAAAATGTCTCCATTTCGTCCTACACGCATCATTTCCTTGATTTTACTTCATTTTTGGAACTGAAGACGTCAAAAATGTCGTATGAGATTTTGCAAAATAAAGACTGTTCGGCTTTGTTTTATTTTGAATTAGCCATAGTAATTCGTCTAAACTCCATTTCCTTTGCACTGTACAAACTCACCTTTTATTTGAGTTCGCACCTACCTATCAACCCGCGTTGCTACTGAAGCTACATATTAGAGCGTATATTTTCTATTGTAGGCGCGGAAGAAAATTTAGTGGTGAACAATAAAAACAATAGAGTGTTTATGTCTCGGAACTATCGGTCTGATAGCATCAAATTTCCGCGGGGCAACTCTCAGCCGATAATTCCACGACAGAAACACTCAAAATTTTGTATCACTCTGTAAACTGCTCTCAGGATCTCCCAGAGGGAAACTGGGAACCACTTCTGAAGTCCCAAAGTGTAACGCCTGTCACATACTAGTTTTACTTCCTCTCTTTCGTGTTTCTCTGCATGCACGTTCGTCAATCCGCCGACTGTTCCGGTAAGATATTGTGAGAAATAGCTTATACTCGTCTAGATGCTGTCAACAGACGAGGAGGATAACTCACCGCTCATTCACAGAGCCGAAGGTATGTTTCTCTCTCTCTCATTTTTGCAATTGCGATGAGAATTAATACGATGTTCTAACTTAGAATTGAATTGCGACCAAAAATAGTTAGTCAAGGTTAGCAACCCGTCAAATCAAATAACTCTTCAAAATAATGCTATAATTTATACAAAGGTACAGCTAAGAGGAAAGTGTTTGCGGCTTGTAGCCACATTTGATATTTTGGTTTAACTTGATATTTAAAACCGGCTTGGAAGACCAGGTTGTTTCCCATTTTCATTTCCTGTTTATTTTAATCTTTGCCAACACGTTTCTTCTGCCCTGACCTGTGGGTTATGTCTTGTCAACCCGTTCCCATAAGTCTTTTTTTCTGAATCTTGATGAGTAGGGAACAAGGGTGCATCGCTCATAACTTTATTAGTCTCACTTGGTATTTAGCCTAGCCCTCTTAATCTATTTTTTTTTCAACAGCCAGATGTTAAATTATTTGCATGATACATAAAGCCATCTTTAAACGCCCCCTTCAGATGATTTTGCATTAAATGAGACTGCAATCAAGCAATAAAGCTAATTAAGGCTATACAAGTACATTTATTAATTTTATTTGATACTTGATTTTACCATGCACACTAACATAAGACAGTCTAATATTTTTAGGCTCAAACCATGATACAAACCACTCAGGTATGAAATTGTTAAATCTCTGAAAGAAACGATTAGCTATCTAAGTTACCTGAGCCTCACCATATTATTGTTAAAAAATGCTTGCCAAAGAGACATTTCCAGAAGGGGAGAAGTTTTTACCTTACATTACCTAATAGATTAGGTTGCCTGTATATAGTTAACCCTCTGTCATCTATAACTTAATTTTCTTTTCTTTGTTGTTTGCTTTTAATTGTAATCTGGGTTTGTATTTATTTTCAGAAATGATTTTATAGCATTGTCATCTTGCAGCAGTTATAGTTACTGCTGAGTTTATATGTTGCTATGATTTTTTTAAATTTTTTGACGTTACAGTAACTTGAGAAATTTTTGATAGTGGATTATTCAATATTTGGTAATGTCATATTACTAAACAGTCAAGTCATTGGATTGCAAAAAAAAATAAAGATAACAAGCACCAATTTTTCTCTTTTTTCAATCATATAAGAATTTCTCATAAACGGGTATTCAAAGTTCAAGACTATTCATACATTAATCAGTCAAGAACTTAGGCAAAGCATTCAGTAACTTGCTGTGTACTATTCAACAAAAAATGACATGAAAAATCCCTTAGTTAGATTTAGGTTCTTTAATGCTGTAAGAAAATAACATACTAATGCAATGTCACAAACCTAAGATTTCTCTGTATTTTATGCTTTGTAAGAAACATGGCTTAATTAAATATTCACCTGCTATAGAACTGATACAATCAAATTTAGGAAGACAGATTTATCTTAACCCTGTTAGACCCTATTGATGATGATTTCATAATTAATATTTATCTATATTTCATTAGTCAGGAATTCTCTCAGCTTTGTGCGAGACTGGGCTGGCTGTATTGTGGCCACATTCCTGATCATCATGGGAATCACTTGTATTATAGTAATCAGTGTGTATAAGGCAAAGGTCAAAGATGAGGTAAAAAGATGTAAAGTGTGTGTGATTCATGCTTTTTTACAACAAATGTCAGTGAGACCCCTTGGTAAGTTTGCTGACATCAATTTTTAGAAATTGTCTTTTTTTATTTTAGTATGGTATTGTACTGGATGCAGGATCAACACATACCAATATGTTTGTTTACAAATGGACAGTCAATGATGTAGTGAAAGGCACAGCAGTTGTGAAGGAGATTGGAGAGTGTGTAGTGAAGGATAAAGGTAAATATGAAAGCACTTGTTATTGGAAACAAAATATTTTTTTTATGAATTCAAGAGTAGGAGTTTAGTATATACTGTATTGTAAAGTCATATGTATTGAAACCCCTCACATGATATGCCTCCTAACTTATTAAGAAGATCGACTCCTTAGTACATTCAGACACATAGGTCCGGTTATTTAAACAAAGTTTAGCCGTTGTTTAATAAAAATTTGTTCTAAACTATCTTGAATTTAGCCGAATCTTTTATCTAAACATTTATTTTTGTGAACAGTGGGTGAAAACTAGCAGTGGAAGGACATCTATTTGATGAAATTAAACTTTTGTAGAGGATACATACATGGCCCTCTGCTTGCATGAAACTGCAGTTTGGGATTGACCTCGTATAAATAACCGGCCCATAGTTTTTGAAAAGTATAGGCCTATACAAGAGTATTGCTAGCTATTCAATAGATATTTAAACTGTTAGCCATATAGTTCATTATCTTTGACTACTCCCAAAAACAAGTTAGTAATGTTAAGTATTAAGAATTGCCAACCTACATTAATAATAATTATTCTTTGCCCAGACTGGCTTGAACAAATATTATAAACCATCATCAGTGTGTGCTCCTGTTGGTTATTGTACATTATGTTTTATTGGTTCCTTATTTCATAGATAATGAGGTGGCAGGAATATCGAGTTACGTATCAAATCCTGATGAGGCTGGACAGTCACTACAGAGTTGTATAACAAGCACAGCAGAGAAGTTGATACCTTCCTACCTACGGAATAGGTCACCAATCTACCTTGGTGCTACTGCAGGCATGAGATTACTTAAGTAAGGGCTCAAACAGTTTGAATATGAACAATAGATTATACTAGCCAAAAAGTAGATTTCCTAGTGGATATGTTCTTGTCGTTATCCAAACACGACACTTGCATCAAACAGTAGTACACTGTACTCACACTGACTCAAAAAAAATTATGTTACTGCTATGTGCCCAGGGAGATGGATGCCGCAGCAGCCAGTAAAATCCTTGCATCTGTACGGAAATCACTGAAGAGCTCACCCTTCATGTTTAAAGATGACTATGCCCGTATCATCAGTGGTGAAGAAGAAGGATTGTCATCCTGGATTACTGTCAACTACTTGAATGGTGCCTTTAATAATTCACAGGTGTGTGGTGAATAATGAAAGTAATAATTCACGCGTTACAATGCTGATCAGCTTTATCCCTTTGCTATTTGTAATCACTTGAAGTGCATCTGTTCAATAAATCATTACTAATAATTTATTAATCAATAAATTATTTATAATATATTTATTTGATAAGTAGAGCAGGTCATAGATGTTGGTGCTTATCTTACATTCCATAGCTTGAAGTGAGTAGAAGTATTGTTAGTTACTCTTGGATTGGGTGCTAGTCTGACTGGACGCAGGTTATTGTGAGGTCTTACAAGCCTCGGTGGTCCACTTCTGCCTGAGTTTTTCCTGGTTTTCATAGCATTAAACAAATAAGAGTACCATGTTTTTCTCTTGGATGGTATGCGAGGTGGAGAAACACACAACAGACAATTGATTGAGAAGTAGCTGTATAAAGACCAAAACACTGTGTCTTATCTTAATCTTTTGTTGCCTAACACTTTTGCTCCAGATCAAGTGAGTTAAAGGTAGCAAGGAGACTTCACACAATGACCTGGCTGGTGCTCCACCTTGGATCTCTTAATTAGTATCTCAGTGACTACATAACCTCTAGGCCTCTGATTTTCCAATCACATTTGCAACAATTAACACTGATTCTTGAAAATGCTGTTTGTTCATTACTCATAGGAAAACAGTGTAAGAGGCAGTTCACAAATCATACCATTAACAGTTGGAGCTTTGGACATGGGAGGTGCATCTACACAGATAACATTTACTTCTCCAAAAGCAGCTCAACCTTCCAGTAAATTAAAATTGTATGGGACAGAGTATCAGTTGTACACACACAGCTACTTATGTTATGGCAAGAAGGAGGCAGAGGACAGATTTTATGCACAGCTTGTCAAGGTGTGTACAGTTAAAGTGAGATTAAGTTCCTGGGGTTTCTCTTATTTAAAGTGTAAGCAAGATAAAGGGTTTTCCAATGTTTTGGGAAAACATTTCCTTGAATTTTGTTTCTGAGATACAGAATGTACAAAGTTTTTGGTCCAGTCAAGATTATTATTCTAAAAGAAGCCATGTAAGAGTTTCTTTGAAAAGAGAAATATTAGAGTAATTATACCCTGATATCTGTTTAATAGCTCAAAACTATTCAAGAAGAATGTCAACTGCTGTTAGTATTAATTTTTTTGTTTCAGAAAGTAGCAAGTATGAGAAAAAAATTAAAAAGATGAATGATCTTTATTCCATGGATTAAAAAAATGTATTGAAGAGGAGAAAATTTAATGGGATGTGGTTTGAGTCTGTACTGATATTACTGGTCAATTTGAGGGTAGTAAAGAGTAGGCTGAGGCAAGAAGTTAAATCTGAAGGGGTTTCTATAAGTAAAGAATTAAAGTAGAGTTTCCTCAGTAGGATAAAGTTCCCTTGTGTTAATGGAACTGTAAGTGGTTTCCCCATTGCTATTTTAAGGAATCGCACTCAAGCACAAAAGTTGACAACCCATGTGGACCCAAAGGCTACAGGCAGAACATAACATTGACGTCTCTGTGGGCTTCTCCTTGTGTGAAAGGAAACACCTCCAACAGGATCACAGTTACTCTGGTGGGAACTGGGAACCACACTCTTTGTTCCAAAGAAGTTAGTAAACTTTTCAACTTTACCTCGTGTGGGGGAAACAGCAGCTGTTCATTTGATGGTGTTTATCAACCAACCATTGATGGAAAAGAGTTTTTTGTAAGTACAATATTCACTTAAGTTACACTGGAAACAAGGAGGAACATAAAATGAGTAAAAATTGCCAGTTATTTTCTTTTGGTAATGCGTTCGAACTAGCGCGCGAACAAAGAAGGTTTGGGAGTGCTTACAGTTGAATTTGGATTGGTTATTT